TCCTTCTAGTTAAAGCATTTTGCGATAAAATGCTCTATACTATATACACATACTTTCAATGAACAAATGAAGATTTTTTTTTTCATAGGACTAATTTGAAGGACATGATACAAGACGGAGAAGATGCATTTAATTCGGCTCATGGCATGAGACTCTTTGAATACATTGGTTTGGACGAACAATTTGCTGGTATGTTTAATCAGGCAATGTCAGAATCTTCTACCATGACTATGAACAAGATTTTGGATTCAATGATGTAACTACTTTGGTGGAGTTGGAGGAGGACTAGGCACCGTATACTAAATCTTGTCATCTCTAAATATCCTCATATCAAAGGAATCAATTTCGATTTAGGCATGGTTTTAGCTCGTGCTCCTCTTTATCGATGTACAATAGTAGTTGATAAATATGTAAAGTTGCATATTGAAATGTTTGATTTTGACAACTCTCTTAAACTATTGTTTTTCTTTTGTTTAATCTTTACTAAAATCGTTTATAGGAGTGGAGCATGTTTCCGGAGATATATTTATTGAAATTCCAAAAGGAGATGCTATCTTCATAAAAGTAAATTATATATACTGCATTAGAATGGTAAACTTACTCATCTTACAAATATATAATTTCATGGTAAATTAATGACAGCGGATACTACATGATTGGACGGACGAAGATTGTGTAAAGATTCTAAAAAACTGTTGGAAGAGTCTTCCGGAAAAAGGGAAAAGTAATAATAGTAGACAATGTTACACTAATAGAGCCAAAGAATGAGGACCCGTTGTCTAACATTGTTTTCAGCATGGATATGTTGATGTTAACACAATGTTGGGGTGGTAAAGAGAGGTCTTTTTCTGATTTTGAAGCTTTAGCCTACGCATCAGGTTTCCTTAACTGTGAAATCATTTGTGTTGCTTATGCATATTCTGTTATCGAATTCCACAAATAGATTCAAAGTTTACAAACATAAGGAATATGTACTTGGTTATGTGGATAGTTGAAAATTATGAACTAAAAGTTTATTTTTTCAAGGGGTTTTTATATTGTTTGTAATTTGGATTTGTTGTAATGGTTGTTCACTTATGAACTAAAATTATGAATATGTACTTGGTTTGTCTTTCATTCAAGATTGTGTGGATCGTTTAGCGTCAAGAAAATGTAATAATTCTGATCTATGAAAAAAATGTGTTTTGCATTAAATTAAGCTGTAATAGAGACTTTGTCTTTATGTGAAAATAATGGGTGGAAATTTGGAATATATTGTCTCTTGATAAGGAATGGTTCGTGCAACAAAATTAGAAAACCAAGTACAAAATTGCTCATATCACAGGTTTGATATATACTTATATCAGGAATATAAACTTATTGGACCTAATTAGTGGTTCAGTTTGGTTAAATTAGGCTAATTTTTCAAGAATCCCTCGGTTCATCTACACTGGACCGGTTGGATCAATTTTTAGGAACCGATAAATAAACCGGTTGAGTCAACCACAAGACCCTGCGACCGATCACTTATATATTACGAATATATTAACAGAGAAGTGATTACTTTAGGTGTCCTCTCTAGAATCATTCTTCCATTTTTATTATGACATAACATTGATAAAATATGACATGGCAATTGAACTCTTTAATTAAACCCACTAATCAAAATTACTTAATCCATTATTATTTTTATTAATTCTATACACAAATTAACTAGATGACTCTCCGCGTTATTCGCGTTATTCTTATTAATTCTATACACGATATTATTCTTATTAATTTTATACAAAAATACGCGGAGAGTTAAATAATAT